GAACTCAATATTTTTTAACATATTCGAATATGTTTTACTAGAGATAACTGTTAATATTCATATTCAAACATCACAAACTCCTGTTTCGTGTCAGACGTCTGTTGTTGTATGGGTCTTAAATGCGTGAAATTTCTATGTATCTCATTGGTAACAATGAACTAGTTCGATCAGCAAGAGCTTTTGTGTAATATGTTAAACACCGGTTGTAATCTTCTAAATATTTGTATGATTGTCCGATACGAAAATTAACATCAGATAATATGGTCAGAGACTGATTATTAAGAACGAGTATCTTCTGGAATATTTCGATTGATTTTTGATAATCACCATTATTAAAGGCAATGCGACCTAAGCCCTTATACGCTTTTACAGTTTGATCAGAATTTGTATTTTTGTTGCTGGTACACAACATTTTCTTATAATATTCTTCTGCTTTTACATCTTCACCCATTAAACCTAAAAATTCAGCAAATGTATTTAGCGTTGTTATTTCACCCATTTCTTTTTCAATGCTTGTTACAAATTGCTGCATTTGCACATTGTTATCCTCGCAAAATCGTAATTTCACACTCCATACATTTTGATTTTCAAGTTTATTGATTGATTCAATTTAAAATAGCGTTCCGATAGAAAATAAAATTTCATCTTCATCATGAAAATAGCTATACTCTCTTATATTAGCGAATGGTTTTGTTCGAATATGAATATCAATAGTTATCTCTAGTAGAACAGATTCGAGGTCTGGTGATTGTGAACCGTCACCAGCATAAATGATGGCAACATTTCGATCAGTTGTTGTGGATATAAATGTATTCATTGATATAAATCGGCCGATATTTTGTTCCAATTTTTGAAATTCATCAGACGTAATTGTTTGACCACGATATACCATTATGACATCACGATCGTACTCTTCTAGTAGAGCGACATAATCCGAATGTAATTGAACTAATTGAGTGTGTAAATCAGAAATGAAATAACGAAACATAAATAATTGTTCAATTTTTTCTGTCCTTAATGCTTTATTCAATTCACGATAAAGAAAACTGTCTCTTGTATACCACCAAACAGCTTTTGTTAAATCATAATTTTCGTCAAAATCATCAATTTTTCTTTGTTCAAAAATGTCATCATTGTAACAGAGACGATATTCATTTAACATATTCATTTTTGCATCATCCGAATTTTTCATTCGTAACAGAATAGTAAGAAGAAATTGATGCCATGTATATGTTCCACACTGTTTTGACATTACTTTTATTGAATGACGAATGATGGTTGGTGATACTGATAGACGTGATTGTTCCAACTCAAGCACTTTTAAGTAGTTTTGTCTACTTTCTTCTTGTGAATTCATAATAATCATCGGTATGGACGACGGATGATTGCCTGATGACCGTGCTACATCATGGGTTAATTTGAGAAATAAACGATTTTCATCGTGAAATATCCCAGCAATTTTATCATCTGATAAGAATGTCGATAAACCACCACGTTCGAGTTCACTGACACATTATATAGATGAATGTAACTTGCGATAGTGGGCAAACGGATGACATAATAATTTGTGCATAATATTTTGATAGTATTAGAAATACTTTAGCTATCTCATTTAATGACGAAATGTGAGTGATACATTCATCGGCGTTAGTAAATATTGATGTATGTTGTACAATATTATTTAGATTTTGTTTTGCTTCAATATGAGTATCATTAGCTTCATCAAGCCATATCACATAAACAGTATCATATCGTTTTTGTATATTGTTTAAATATGCGAGTGATTTATAGCTATCCATTTTGTAAAATATAAAATATGAAATCGACTGTCTAATAAGTTTTACCTATGTGAGCGATATGATCGGCAATTCACACGGTAAACATATTTTTGTGACAAAGTGAGACATGAAAAAAGAAATGATGCGTTATTGTGTAAGCAATCTAAATAAAAAATCATACGTATATATAGTTATGTATCTCAAGCGAAACGGTTAATGTTTTTAATAGGGACGTTTTATAATGCATTTGATACCGCTGGAAATAGAAAATACTATAGTTTTTGATGGATGCTCTTATTTTACCATCACTAACAGAATTAACATTACGTAACAAAGGTGTAGACCGATGAATTATATAATGGAATATCTCACTTTATTCACTTTGATTATTGAATGTAACTGCTCATAGATTGATCTAAATTCAGTGCATCACACTACTCTTAAAAAAAGGGTGCCATACGGAACTTAAAAAGAATTTCGAGAATTGAAAGTATTTCTAAACCTTTTTTAGGTTCTGTACGAACAAGATTTCGTATGATACCTTTTTCTCCTGCTTTCAAAAAAGGTTCCGTGGAGGTGTTGTTCGGATTCTATGTATGGATTTCATAACGTTGCTTTTGTATATCTGTCTTGAATTATTTATTTCTACTGCCTAGCAACAAAACAACCGAAAAAATGCAAGTAGCCAAAGAAAACCAGCTTATGCACAAAACATGTCGTTTGAGGAAAAAGTCTTCTAATAAAAGCATCCATGAATATAGATTGTCAAAATAGAGTAAAAGAGAATATTGTCAAAAAAAAATTAGCTAACTTCCCATACCGTAAAAACACAAGGTAACCCTCATCTTCGATTCACTCCGTCCCTTGACTTTTGCGGTGCTGATAAAGTGGGAATAAAAGTACTGTGTAAGTCAGTACACGAAAATTACTTTCAGCACACTTTAGTTTGTAGAAACTTGCAAAATAAGAAACGGCAGTCTTGGTATGTGAACTGTGGTCGAACTGCATCCACTATAGTGACACTGATGCAATGTAAAACAATTCTGCTCGGATGAAATTCATTGGACTAATATTTGAAATTAGAGAAAGAATTAAATATGATTTCACTTTCCATGTTCATTTTTTTTCGAGCCTACTATCGCTACCGAGCTATTCACTGTTTGCATTTTGGCACACGCATCGTCATAACCTGACGACATCTGAAAAGCAAATTTGGAAATATCCCAGTAACGATAATAGGCTCGAAAAAAATGGAAATGGAAAGCGAAATCATATTTAAGGTGCCGTTAATTCGAAATCATAGCAAGATTTGTTTTTCGTTCTTTTCTTACTTGGCTGGAAAGAGGGTATGTGAATGACTATAAAAAAATAGTTTTTAATTTTTAAAAAAATAATTTTTGTGGAGAAAAATTCAAAACAGTGACACGCACCTTTTTTGGGTAAAACTGGTGTACTTTGAAAAATATGCCAAAATTTTATTTTTTCGTGCTTTTAGTCATCCAAACTAGTTTTTTCTTATTCG